CCCCAAAACCCCAAAACCCCAAAACCCCAAAACCCCTTTAGAGGAGAATTTGGAGAAAGTTAATAATAAAGGGTTTTAAAAATGAAGAATTGTGAGAGTGAACAGCCCAAGTCTTTCTGTGATCTTGTGGTAAGTAGTTTAACCTAGTGGATTAAGGGGTGGGAGGGTCTAAGGCTGTTTTGAAGTTTTAGAGTAATTTTGAGTGGGTTTTGATCATATTTTTAGGAATACGCGATTTTGCAGAATGATGCTGGAAAAAGTCAAGTTAAGAATCTTGGAGAGCGATATGAAAGGAAGAAATTGTTGAGAGATGCTTCTTCAAGGCATTCTGCTCTTGAAGAGTGTGATCTTGGTGATGGTCTTGCCGGAAAGGAGATAACTAATATTCATCCTATCTACTCTACTAAGGCCACAAAACAGATATCAAATCCTCTTGTGCATAACAAGGGAAGAGTTAAGCTTGAACATCACAAATCTTTGCAGATAAGAGCAACAGAGATGGAGTCTTTCTTCAAGCCTAGCTCAGTTGAGCCTACTTTAGAAGAGGGTTTGTTCTCCTTTAGGAATACAGTAAACTGTGAGTCCTCAGCATCAGGGGGTCTTGGAAGCCCAGCTTCACAAGCCACTGAGGGTAAATTTTCCCTTTTTAAACCCAAAAGCAAGTTTAAAAGGAGCAAAAGACGTAAGTATCCTTTTTACTTAATGTAGATTTTTCACCTAGATTTCTAATCAATTTAAATCTTCTTACACTATTTCCACTTTAATGTTGTCTAAACTCTTTATAGGCATCTCAAAGATAAGAAAAACAAGGAACAATAGAAGCAATACTGGAATGAGTCGCTTCCGTTCACCGATGGGAAGGAGTACATTTGCCAAACAGAAGCCCCAACTCTAAGACTCATCCTCAAAGCTATCTATTCCGATAAGACTCAACACGCTTTTTATTAATTTACTCATAATTTTTGTACTAAATGCTTCTTTCTTGGAGATCTTTTGCTTCTAGTCCATCTTTATTTGCTAATTTTTAGGTTTAAGCTTAATAACATACGAGAATGCTAAACTCTAGTCTCAGTCGATTCTTTTCTCAATATTTCTTCTATAGAATGACTGGTGGGGGGTATTAAGCCATCTGGGTAAATCTCTAAACTTTGAAAGACCTAGTGTTGGTCCCATAATATTGTAGAAATAGAATTCTATTCGTTAACTTTGTATAAACTGTTAATGAGATAGAGGATTAGAAGTTTTAGCTTTAAGGGCTAGGGAGAAATGTATGGATGAGGGTTAGACACATTTTAAAGAGGAGTGAACTTATTTGCACCCTAAGACTATGCTTTCATCTGAGCCCTTTTAATTTGTATTTCTGATAATTTGGCCAGCTTCTCTGTTATTACATAGTCAACTATTTTAGCAAGTTTGAAGAACTTCAACCTTTTCATGCTCAAGAGTCTAGATTAAGTATACAAATAAGAGAAGAGGAAGTCTTAGGAGTCTATGGTAATTTTTAAAGCCCGTACTAAGTATAGCTTCATTATCTTAGCTTTCATTCAGGATAGTACACTTCGAGTTTGGAGCTAGAGAAAGGGCATAATTGGAGTAAATTAATCCCAAAATCTTTATAATTAAGTAATTTAATGAAATCTCCTTATACGATAGTTTGCTTCTAGGAATTTTTCATGATGCCTACTTCAGGTAATGGAGATAGAGTATGAACAAATTCTAATTTTCTATCTCCTTAATAATTTTACAGGTGATTTTAACAGAATTTTTAAGAAAATTGAATATTTGAATTAATTCTTAATAGGTACAAATTTTTCAAGAGGAAATACTTCGGGCTTAAATAATGAGCTTTGTAGGTGAAAATTGTCAATGGCAAAGACGAAAATAACTGCAACTGGATGGCTCTGTATTTATCTTAGAGGCTCGATTTATCTCGAGATTAGCTAGAGTGGTTGTAAACTCTTTTTATTGACATATAATTTGGTTTTCCCTATACTAGGCTTTATTACGACATATGAAAGATTATACAATATTTTGATAGCAAAGACGAGAATGGATAAAATGAAGAGGGATACATTAGAATTTTGATTATTAAGCTTTGAACACGTTAAAGATTTACTCTGTTAGAATTAGACTATACTTAGGCTTTTTAATTTTATTTATACCCGAAAAGCTATAATTTTTAATAAATATGAATTTCTGATATGTAAGTTATTATTTTCAGCAAGAAAATCTCTTACGGGGTTTTGGGGTTTTGGGGTTTTGGGGTTTTGGGG